ACCCTTTCTTTTTACCAAGTTCAATATTGATAAGATTAGTTAACATTTATTTGTTTCGATGCAACAATAAAATATTATTTGTGACAAGTAGTTTTGTTGGTTGGTTAATTGGTCACATTTTATTGATCAAATGGATTGAATTGATATTAGTCTGGGTACAGCAAAATAATTCAATTCAATCTAATGTATCTATTCGATCAAATAGATACATTATGTCAGAATTTCGAAATTCTATGTCCAAAATCTTTCTTGTTTTCTTATTTATTACCTTTTTATATTATTTAGGAAGAATACCCCCTCCTTTTTTTTCTAAGAAACTTTTAGAAATTCAAGAAAGAAATGAAATTGAAAAAAAAAAAAATGTATGTCGAAAGAAATTTGCAAACGGCACGAACTAGACAAAAACAAAAAAGATCCACCAAAAATGATCTTTTTCCTTATATTTTATCTAAAAAAGAGAAGAATTTGTACAACATCAACAAGGAGAAAAATAGCTTCGGATTTCCTCAAAAATTTCTTATAAACATTCTTTTCAATTATAAACGATGGAATCGTCCATTTCGATATATAAAAAACGATCGATTTGAAAATGTCGTAAGAAATGAAATTTCAGAATTTTTTTTTCATACATGTCAAAGTGATGGAAAAAAAAGAATTTCTTTTTCGTATCCAAAAAATTTATCGACTTTTCAAAAAATGCTGGAAACAAAAATGGATTCCTTCACAAGAGAAAAAATTTCCTATAAAGAATTGTCGAATTTTTGGAGCTATACTAATGAAGAAAAAAGAAAGAAACTAACTAATGAATTTCTAAATAGGGCAAAAGTTCTAGATAAGGAATTTTATCCTATGGATATATTTGAAAACCGAATTAGATTGTGTAATGATGAAACAAAAATAAAATACTTAATTAAAATATATGATCCTTTGCTGAACGGACCCTTTCGTGGACGAATCCAAAATTCTTTTTTACCCTCAATCAAAAATGAAAAAACTTACAAAAAAAATGACATTTTGATAAATAAGATTCATAGTATACTTCTTTCTAATAAGAATAGTAATAATAATAGTATTTATTCAGAATTTGAACAGAAAATTCATATATTTGATAGAAAATTATTAGTAACTGAATTCTCTTTTTTTTTTTTTCTAATTAATCAATTTTCTAAAAAATCAGTATCAAGCTTGAATTTTAAAATAGTTTATTATTTATTTCCAGAACATGAACAAGAAAAATTGGATTCCGAAGAAAATAAAAAAATCCAATTTTTCTTTGATGCAATTAGAACTGATCTGAACAATAAAACACTAGTAAATATAAATAGAAAAAAATGTATTGGAATAAACGAAATCAGTAAAAAAGTTCCCCTATGGTCATACAAATTTATCGACGAATTAAAACAACTGGGGGGGAAAAATGAAGCAGAAAATTTTCAGATTCGTTCTAGAAAAGCCAAACGTGTAGTGGTTTTTACTAAAAATTTACAGAAACAGAATAAGGGTACCCATAATGATACTGGAAATACTGAGAATACTAAAAAAAACGAATTGGCTTTACTACGTTATTCACAACAACCGGATTTTCGGCGAGACATAATCAAAGGATCCATACGTGCTCAAAGGCGTAAAACAGTTACTTGGAAATTTTTTCAAAGAACTGTGCATTCCCCCCTTTTTTTGGACAAATTTGAGAAACGCTTGTTCTTTTTTTTTGATAGTTTCGAGTCAATGAAAATCTTTTTTCTGTTCCAAAATTGGATTCGAAAAAAGACAAAATTTCCAATTTTGGATTATACAGAGGAAAAGGCAAAAGAAAGTGAGAAAAAAGAGGAGGACGACAAAAAAAAAATAAACGAAAATGCGGAAAAAAAACGTATAGAAATAGCAGAAGCCTGGGATAACTTTATATTTGCTCAAGGAATAAGAGGTTTTTTATTAATAACCCAATCGATTCTTCGAAAATATATTAAATTACCCTCATTGATAATAACTAAAAATATCGTTCGTATACTACTTTTTCAATTTCCCGAATGGTCAGAAGATTATAGGGATTGGAAGAGAGAAATGTATATTAAATGTACCTATAATGGCGTTCAATTATCTGAAACAGAATTTCCCCAAAAATGGCTAACAGACGGTATTCAGATAAAGATCTTATTTCCTTTTCGTCTGAAACCTTGGCACAGATCTAAGTTACGATCCAATGAAAAGGAAAAAGATAGAATGAAAAAAAAAGTGAAAAAAAAGAACTTCTGTTTTTTAACAATTTGGGGAAGGGAAGTTGAATTGCCCTTTTCTGATTCTCAAAAAAATCGATTTTCTTTTTGTGATCCTATTTTTAAAGAACTCAAAAAAAAAAAAGAAAAAATTGAAAAATTATTTTTTTCGAGTTCTAAAAGTTTTAAATGAAAGAACAAAATGGTTTCTAAATATCTCAAAAGATATTGCAAAATGGATCAGCAAAAGTATTCTATTTCTAAAAAAAAAAATAAAACAACTCTTCATTTTTAATTTTACAAATTTTCATTCTTTATTTTTATTATTTGTTAGACTCAAAAAAATAAATGAATTGAATGAAAACAAAAAAGATTCAACAATTTGTAAGAATAATCCAATTATTTTCGAATCAACCATTCCAATTCAATCTATAAATTGGGGAAATTGTTCATTGATAAAAAAAAAAATAAAAGACCTGAATGCTAAAACAAAAACTATTCTAAAACAAATAGAAAAAATGACAAAAGAAAAAAGGAAAGGGGGACTTCTAATTTCAGAGATAAATATTCATTCGAACAAAACAACTTATGATACTAAAAGATTAGAATTAGAAAAAAATATTTTGCAGATATTACAAATAAGAAATGTTCGATTAACTCGTAAATCACATTTTTTTTTTAAATTTTTCCTGAAAAGGATATACATAGATATCCTTCTATATATCATTAGTATTCCTAGGATCAATATACAACTTTTTCTGGAATCAAAAAAAAAAATGATAAATAGATCCATTTACAATAATGAAGTAAATACAGAAATAACTGATAAAACAAATCAAAGTATAATTCACTTTATTTCGATTATACACAATACTAGTAATACGAATTCACAGAATTCTTGTAACGTCTCCTTTTTGTCACAAGCATATGTATTTTTTAAATTATCACAAAACCAAGTAATCAACATTAACATAGATAAGTATAAGTTAAGATATGTTTTTCAATATCATGGAAGATTTTTTTTTCTTAAGAATGAAATAAAGGATTCTTTTTTTGGAGTACAAGGAATATTTCATTCCAAATTAAAACATAAGAACCCTCCCAATTCTGTAATGAATCAATGGACAAATTGGTTAAAGGGTCATTATCAATATGACTTATCTAAAAGCATATGGTCTAGATTAGTACCACAAAAATGGAGAAATAGAATCAATGAACATCGTGTGGCTCAAAATAAAGATTTAACCAACTGTGATTCTTATGAAAAAACCCGATTAATTCTTTACAAAGAAGAACAAATAGACGCATTAAAAAAAAAAAAAATGAAAAAACAATATAGATATGATCTTTTATCCTATAACTCTATTAATTATACGGAAAATAAAGACTCATATATTTATGGATATAGATCATCATTCCACGCAAATAAAAAGCAAGCGATTTCTTCTAATTACAACACGCATAAAAAAAAATTATTTGATATAATGAGTAATATCTCTATGAAGAATTATACAGCGGAAGATGCTATTATAGATATGGAAAAAAATCTGGATAGAAAGTATTTTGATTGGATGGGAATAAATGTAGAAATACTAAATCGTTCCATATCGAGTACGAAATTTTTTTTCGTTTCAGAATTTTTGATATTTTCTAATGCATATAAATATCAAAATAACCCGCGGATCATACCAATCAAATCACTTTTTTTCCATTTTAATATAAATATAAATCAAAATGTTAGTGAAAATCAAAATAACATTACTGAAAAGAAAAGAATAATAGATATTTTTAGACCATCGAAAAAAAAGAAATCTCCGGAATTCGAGTTAGAGACTCAAAATCGAGCAAAAACAGAATGCGCGGGTCGAGTAAATCTTGAATCATCTCCCTCAAACCAAAAAAAAGATATTGAAAAAAAATTTGCGGAATTGGACAGTAAAAAGGATGGTAAGGGTATAAAGAAAAAGAAAGACAAGAACAAGATGAAGGCTAAACTAAATTTCTTAACAAGAATTTTTTTACTTTTCATTTGGACTGGAAGAATTTCTTAGGTAAAAGAATATTAAATAATGTCAAAGTATACTGTCTCCTGATTAGATTGAAAAATTTAAGAGAAATTGCTATAACCTCTATTCAAAGGGAAGAACTAGATCTAAAAATTATGCTGATTCAAAATCATAAGGATTTCACTTTTCCAGGCTTGAAGAAAAATGAAAATACAAAATTTATGAAAAACGAATTTTTTATTATCAAACCAGTTCGCCTGTCTAGAAAAAACAATAAACAATTTTTTATGTATCAAACCATGGGTATCTCATTAATTCGTAAGAGTAAGTACAAAATGAATCAAAAATACTCCGAAAAAAGTAATGTTGATAAGAAAAATTTGAAAAATACATTACACGGACAAGAGATCCAAAAATAACAGAAAAAAAAAAAAAAAAAAATTATAATTTGCTTGTTCCTGAAAATATTTTATCCGCTAGACGTCGTAGAGAGTTGAGAATTGTAATTTGTTTAAATCCTAAGAATATAAATAGTATGCATAGAAACACAATATTTTACAATGAAAATAAAGGTAATAATTTTTTGACTCAAAAACGAAAAGATCTTGACAGAGATAAAAAAAAACTAATGAATTTCCAAATTTTTCTTTGGCCAAATTATAGATTAGAAGAATTAGCTTGTATAAATCGCTATTGGTTTAATACCCATAATGGAAGTCGTTTCAATATAGTAAGGCTACATATGTATCCGCGATTGAAAATTCGTTAATCGAAATTTGTCTTCTATTTACCATAATATATATCTGGTATATGAAGACAAATTGTTATATACATAACATAAATGGGAACACACATTGTGGCATTGATACTAATCTAATGATGTATCCATTAGATCGAAAAAAGAATCAACAAAATTGTCTTTTATTTTTCAAGCATACAATTTGTTATTTGGTGAATCCATAAATATGGTATCTTTTCTATCTATTTAGATTGGATTGATTAATAAGAAAGAATGAATTCAATCAGGAATTCCTAAGGAAATTCAGATTTATATACAAAAATGAGTATCATTACTATTACTGATCAATAAAAATATTTATCAAAAGCGAGGGGAAGAGGAAAGCTTTCATTTCATTTTTTTATGGTAAAAAATTCATTTATACCTGTTATTTCAGAAGAAAAAAAAGAAGAAAACCCGGGATCAGTTGAATTTCAAATATTCCATTTTACCAATAAGATACGAAGACTTACTTCGCATTTTGAATTGCACCGAAAAGACTATTTATCTCAAAGGGGTTTACGTAAAATTCTGGGAAAACGGCAACGATTACTGTCTTATTTGTCAAAAAAAAGTAGAATACGTTATAAAAAATTAATAAATCAGTTTGATATTCGGGAGTCACAAATTCGTTAATTTGAAGAGTCATTTTCAATTATTCGATTTATTAGATCTTGAATTTTGATGAATTTTTTTTTTTTTTTAAAGCGATTCATTCTTCTATGAATCGAGGAAAAAAATCTATGAATATCCCAGCTACAAGAAAGGACCTCATGATAGTAAATATGGGACCTCACCACCCATCAATGCATGGTGTTCTTCGACTTATTGTTACTCTGGATGGTGAGGATGTTATTGATTGTGAACCAATATTGGGTTATTTACACAGAGGGATGGAAAAAATTGCAGAAAACCGAACAATTATACAATATCTCCCTTATGTAACACGTTGGGATTATTTAGCTACTATGTTCACAGAAGCAATAACTGTAAACGGACCAGAACAGTTGGGAAATATTCAAGTACCTAAAAGAGCTAGCTATATCCGAGTAATTATGTTAGAGTTGAGTCGTATAGCTTCTCATCTACTGTGGCTGGGACCTTTTATGGCAGATATTGGTGCACAAACCCCTTTCTTCTATATTTTCCGAGAAAGAGAATTAATATATGATCTATTCGAAGCTGCGACAGGTATGAGAATGATGCATAATTTTTTTCGTATCGGAGGGGTAGCGGCTGATTTACCTCATGGTTGGATAGATAAATGTTTTGAATTCTGCGATTATTTTTTAACAAAGGTTGTTGAATATCAAAGACTTATTATGCGAAATCCTATTTTTTTAGAACGGGTTGAGGGAGTAGGCGTTGTTGATGGAGAGGAAGTAATAAATTGGGGTTTATCAGGACCAATGCTTCGGGCTTCCGGAATACAATGGGATCTACGTAAAGTTGATAATTATGAGTGTTATGAGGAATTTGATTGGGAAGTTCAATGGCAAAAAGAAGGAGATTCGTTAGCTCGTTATTTAGTTCGAATTGGTGAAATGACGGAATCTATAAAAATTATTCAACAGGCTTTGGAAGGAATTCCCGGCGGACCATATGAAAATTTAGAAATTCGCTGCTTAGATAAAGAAACAGAGCCAGAATGGAATGATTTTGAATATCGATTTATTAGTAAAAAAGCGTCTCCGACTTTTGAATTGCCGAAACAAGAACTTTATGTAAGAGTTGAGGCTCCTAAGGGAGAATTAGGAATTTTTCTAATAGGTGATCAAAATGGTTTTCCTTGGAGATGGAAAATTCGTCCACCGGGTTTTATCAATTTGCAAATTCTTCCTCAATTAGTTAAAACAATGAAATTGGCCGATATTATGACAATACTAGGTAGCATAGATATCATTATGGGAGAGGTTGATCGTTGAAATGATAATTGATACAACAGAAATACAAGATATCCATTTTTTTTTCAGATTGGAATCTTTTAAAGAGGTATATGGAATTCTATGGGTATTTGCCCCTATTTTTATTCTTGTATTAGGAATCACAATAAGTGTACTAGCAATTGTATGGTTAGAAAGAGAAATATCCGCAGGGATACAACAGCGTATTGGACCTGAATATGCTGGTCCTTTTGGAGTTCTTCAAGCTCTAGCAGACGGAACAAAACTACTTTTCAAGGAGAATCTTATTCCATCTAGAGGAGATATTAATTTATTCAGTATCGGACCATTCATATCAGTCATATCAATTATAATAAGCTATTCAGTAATTCCTTTTAATTATAACTTTGTTTTATCTGACCTCAATATCGGTGTTTTTTTATGGATTGCTATTTCAAGTATTGCTCCCATTGGACTTCTTATGTCAGGATATGGGTCAAATAATAAATATTCCTTTTTGGGTGGTCTACGAGCTGCTGCTCAATCGATTAGTTATGAAATACCATTAACTCTATGTGTGTTATCAATATCTCTACGTGCGATTCGTTGAGACAGAAGCTTTTCGATACTATTGCTATACTCCCCCCTTTCTTTATAGTGCTTTCTAGTAAAGAAGGATAATAAATTGAATATATATCCTTATCATTATTCTTTTTCGAAATTCGGATTGAAGAATTTAATCAGATAGTTATATGAGTGAAATAAAACAGCTTCTATTGAATAGAATTTATTAATTCTATATATATACTATATTACTTATAGTTATATATTACTTATAGTTAATAGATAGTATGAGGAGTTAAAATTGCAGTCAAAATATTGAGTCTCATTTTCCATGTATAAGAATTAAGTGAAAAAAAAAATTCTATTCTATTTCTTCAGTAGAAGAGGTCATTTACCCCCAAGGTTGGTTGATTAGTCATCCTGTCTTGAAGCGGGCACAAAAGAAAAACCAACCTTTTTTTTGAGTTTTCACTATCATTTGTATGAATTATCATACATGTATTAACATAACTAAAGGGGTTTAATAAAAAAATGAATGGATGGGTAGAAACACCAAAATACACAAAGGATTAGTAACGCAAATTTTTTTAAATATCCAAAAGAGCATTTATACATAATAGAAAAAGAATACTAATTGGGGCTTTAAGTTGGTAGAAAAAATCAGGCAGTACTCCCTACAATTCCGATCCAGAGTATGCTCCCATCCACTGATTAAATAAATGACTATCAGGAACGAAATAATCCTTTACTTTTGTTTTCATTAATTCACTTTTTTTTTTGAGTCCCTTTTTAGTTGCACAAAAAAAGGCTAGGAGCGAAAGAAAAAGTGATACCCTTTTTCTTTTTTTTTCTTACATCTATATTCTAGGAAGATGGAATTCATGTCATAATTCAGAAAACGAATGTATAATTCTTTTTTGTAATCGAAAATGATGGAGAAGTTATTGAGAATTCTATAAAGAGTATTTTATTGAAGAATTCAGTTATTACTCAACAAATTCCAATTTTTTTTTAAAGGGATAAGATCAATTCAGAAGTACTTTTTGTATCTTTTATTTATTCAAATAAAATTTGAAATGTATTTTTCTTTATTATTAATTTTTTCATTAAATAAAACAAAACAGACAGAATTCAATTGGTCTAATTCAGAACCGTCCGATAAAATCGAATCTTATCCATTTTATAAATATATCAAGAGATAAATAATCGGTCTGGTCCTTAGATTTATTGAAGGCTTAAAAGGAGCCGTATGAGGTGAAAAATCTCATGTACGGTTCTGTAATAGAGATGGGAACAGTAATGTTATCACCGACTAGGATTATCTAACAGCTTAAGTACAGTTGATATAGTTGAAGCGCAATCCAAATATGGTTTTTGGGGATGGAATTTGTGGCGTCAACCTATGGGTTTCATCGTTTTTCTAATTTCTTCTTTAGCAGAATGTGAAAGATTACCTTTTGATTTACCAGAAGCGGAAGAAGAATTAATAGCGGGTTATCAAACCGAATATTCGGGTATCAAATTTGGCTTATTTTACATTGCTTCCTATTTAAACCTATTAATTTCTTCCTTGTTTGTAACAGTTCTTTACTTTGGTGGTCCGAATATCTCTATTCCGTACATATTTGTTTCTGAATTTTTTGAAATAAATAAAGCATATGGAGTTTTTGTAACAACAATTGGTATCTTTATTACACTAGCTAAAACTTATTTGTTCTTATTCGTTTCTATCACAACAAGATGGACTTTACCTAGGCTAAGAATAGATCAATTATTAAATTTTGGATGGAAGTTTCTTTTACCCATTTCTCTCGGTAATCTATTATTAACAACTTCGTCTCAATTGTTTTCACTATAAAAAACGGACCTTCTATATTCATAACTTGTCTCAAACAAGAGAAAGAAAAAAAACAAAAATAATCAGAGATATTCACGATATGTTCCTTATGATAACTGGATTTATGAATTATGGTCAACAAACAGTCCGAGCTGCAAGGTACATTGGTCAAAGTTTCACGATTACCTTATCTCACGCAAATCGTTTACCTGTAACTATTCAATATCCTTATGAAAAAATAATCACATCGGAACGTTTCCGTGGTCGAATACATTTCGAATTTGATAAATGCATTGCTTGTGAAGTATGTGTTCGTGTATGTCCCATAGATCTACCCGTTGTTGATTGGAAACTGGAAACTGATATTCGAAAGAAACGATTGCTTAATTACAGTATTGATTTCGGAATCTGTATATTTTGTGGTAACTGTATTGAGTATTGTCCAACAAATTGTTTATCAATGACTGAAGAATATGAACTTTCGACTTATGATCGTCACGAATTGAATTATAATCAAATTGCTTTGGGCCGTTTACCAGTGTCAGTAATTGATGATTATACAATTCGAACAATTCAAATAAAATTAAGTTAATTATAATATAATTATAAAATCTTTTTCTAAAAATAAAGATTATATAAATCAAATCATATTCGATATATTTCTATATATAAATATATGTATTTGAATAATATATATGAATAATATAAATTTGGATAATAAGAAAAATGTTATTAAAAAAAAAGAATAAATCTTAGAGGTAGATATTTTTATATTAGATATTCTATTAGTAGAAATATTCGATACATATATTATATATATACTTTAGTTTTCGTATAGTTTCAAACTACTCTTTCATAGAAAGAATGGAATGACATTGATCTATAATGTACTATAGCAATTCAACTTATTATCTTAGGATTTGATTGAATTCAATGCGGAGAGAAATTTAGTATTTAGTATATAATTTTTTATCATATGATCATAAATCTCTCTCAACAACAGATAACGGTGTAAG